AAAGGAAGGTTGGAGATTGGCCTATAATTAGCTAAGACTGCTGGGTCTAGAGATGCTTTTTGAGTAAAGGTTTAACTACAGCCAGCTTGAAGGCCTGTGGTACATAGCTGATTATTAGTAAATTAAAGTTTTGGTAAATATAACAAACTTGGACTGTGCTGTAGTCCCGTCTATGCCTGCAGTGATTGCAGCCCTGCTGCTCACGGTCATTCGTTACAAGGCTGCTGAGCGTTTCTCTCACCTCCTTTTACTCACCGTGTGTTTATACACCACTCTGACATTAATCATCAGTCAAACACACAAGCGGTCGCAGGAGATGGACTACCTGAGCCTGGTTCTCCAGGTGGCGCTTAAAAGGTTTTTCCTTCTTCTGTCACCAAGTGCTCATACAGGGTCATCTTCATGTTGCTGCATTATTGTTGGGTCTTTATGTTACAGTATAAAGCACCGTGTTGTTGTGGTTTGGTGCTATGTAAATAAAGTTGAATTGAAATCCTTACCCGTGTCCTCTGTTTGCTACTCCTCTAGATGTCCTGGGAGGACGTGAAGAAAGAGATGGTGAATGAGAAGGGCCTGTCAGAGGAGGCTGCCGACCAGATTGGGGAGTACGTCAGCATGCAGGGTGAGACTGTAGCCAACATCCACACAGCTGATGTCTGTAGAACAATCAGCATGACCTGAACTGTCAGCTGTTCAGTTTTTCTTCAGCATCAAATAAAATGTGGTCCAAGCTTATGCTGCACTCCCACAGACTCAGAAACACAACATTAAACATTTTCTCTTGTACCAGCACAATGATGAAATAGAGCATGCAAAGGGAATCGCTTGTACAACACACAGACTCACTGTGTGCTGGTTGTAATGCAGGTGGGATGGACCTGGCTGAGCGCCTCCTTCAGGACCATAAAATGTCTCAGAGTAAGCAGGCCTGCGCTGGCCTCTCAGACATCAAACTGCTCTTCAAGTACCTACAGCTCTTCCACGTCACAGACAAGGTGAGAAACTGGATTTCTCTGGTATAGAATCCCAGTATGAATGCTCTATAGCAATGAACTGGTTTCCATGTGGACAAGAAAGGTTTTATACTGGTCATGCAACCCTGTGGAAAAACTAGCCTTACTGGTTTTCAGGGTTTTCCATTAGCTCATGGTACCTGGTACCATTAGCATACTAATTATGTCACGGGACGCTCGGCCGTGTTGCTATAGCAACAATCACGCACTTTAGGTGGTACTCAGTGTAAGTGAAAACCAGTCGATCCGAGTTGAGTGGTGGTGACTCCGAGTAGGTAAATGGAAAAGAGGCTTTTGTTTCGTCTCTCTGTTGTTTTTGTTTGTTTTCCGTTCTTCACTCTTCCCTGCCTGATATGGACTTTGATATTCTACCTTCTCTAGGTGGTGTTTGACCTTAGTCTGGCCCGGGGTCTGGACTATTACACTGGAGTGATCTATGAAGCCGTGCTAACTCAGGCAAGCGCAGTCTCAGACGCTAATGAAGCCCAAAACGGCGCAAATGCAGAAGAGAGTGTGAGCGTGGGCAGCGTGGCGGGAGGGGGCCGATACGATGGCCTGGTGGGCATGTTCGACCCCAAGGGGAGGAGAGTCCCCTGTGTGGGTGTCAGCATAGGTATCGAAAGGATCTTCTCCATCATGGAGCAGAAGGCTGAGGTAATGTCTCACCTGGAGCAGCTTTACTGTTCTGTGAATGCTGCACAAGTTCAAACAGTGACATGGTTTTATTGTTCAGGCCTCACCGGAGAAGGTGCGCACCACAGAAGTTCAGATCATGGTGGCATCTGCTCAGAAGAACCTGCTGGAGGAGAGACTGCAACTCGTCTCTGAGCTCTGGAATGCTGGCATCAAGGTAGGTCAGGACAGATCAGGGGGGAGATACCATCAACAACCCCACCCTAAGAGATTGGGTACCTTGTGTATCCACCAGGGGGAGCAGTGTGGCTGCTTTATC